GTTCTCTTTCTAGACAATTCTTCATGTATGCCATATCCAGAGGGTTGTCCACAGTCTCTTTGAGAAGTTCAAAAAGACGTTTCTCAACGAATGCAAGTTTTTCGGTTTGTACTCCAGTTGGTTGAAACCAAATCACTGAATTCGGCCTAGCGTCCCACCAGTATGAAATGGAACTCGCAAGCTCTTCTTTCTCGACCATGACATTTTCAAGGACGGAAACAGAAGATCCAGCGAGATATGCGAGCAGTACATTTAGAGCAGCTGTTTCGACAGCATTTTTACAATCAGGACCAAACATACCAACCCAAATTTCTCCCATTGACTCGTCTTCCTCAGGAAAGTGTACAGTCTCTATTATGGTTTTTGTGAGTGCTGGTGGTTGAGCCGAGTCCACCCATGGTCTGTATATGTCAGAATGTTACCCGTAACTTCAAAATTAGATACACGCACCTCTTGAATGGAGCAGTTGGAGATGGAATGTCATCTAAGATACCTTCCTCAAATGTGTCTAATATATCAAGCAATTCATCCTGATCGACTTCGCCGATCAAAATAAGACAAAGGTTCTTTGGCTGATACATCTCTTTATGGAATGCACGAATTCGCTCGGGCGTCAAGATACGCAGATTTTCCATCAGTCCACCTGTTTCGTAACGAAATCCGATGTTTTCGGGATAAAGAAGTTGTCTAGCACGTAGATCCATGATATCAGAACCTGTGTTCTGAACCCCTTGCATTTCCGAGTACACCACACCTGCATCGTTACCTTCACCATCGATATGATGTACTTCAGTGTAGCAGCCTTCTTCGGTAAGTGTTGGTAAGATCAAGTGCTCAAGATAAACAGGAAGAATTTGAGAAAACCCTTCCCATCCTGCCGTTTCTAATGTATAGGCAGTATGGTCCGTAGCGGTCCATGCGTTGGTATTAGAATAAGCTCTCGTGGCAAGTTTATCAAGTAGGCCTTTATACTGGTAACTTTTTGATCCCATAAAACAAAGATGCTCTAGGGTATGGGGTGATCCAGAGTCATCGAAAATTTCCGTGGCCAATGCAAAATATCCATTAACTTGAGGTCCTTTCTGATCAACCACAACAACATTCATCCCAGTACGTTCCGAGACATATTGAGTGATGTTGGTAGGGGCATAATCAGTTTTGAAATTTTGCACCGTTCGGAAATGAGTTTTCTTCGTTTGACTTGGCATCTTGATGAAGGAGTTGAATTTCCAAGAGTCGAGTAGCTCTCTTCCAGGAGAATACCTGGAATATTGTTAGATTTAGATTGAGAAAACGAACAGCCCCATAAAAAGTCATGTGTCAAGCCCGATAATTTGGACTTCATAGATTGCGTAAAGGAAATTGTTTGGACTTCGGCGATTCAAAAGTTTCATAAAGGCAAGTAACAGAATCAAATTATAATCAGGATTGTAAAAATAGAGCGTCTTCCGGACAGTCCTGAACTCGTGGAATTTGTCAGAAGTACATAAAAGAATATATGAATGAAATGGATATAGTACGCCAAAGCATACGAGATTGAATCCACAGCTTGATGAAGAGCAGCAGCAAGTACACTCTAATAGTGCTCGGATAGGAATGAATGAACGAATGAACGAAGGAATGTATGTATGTATGTATGTATGTATGGATCGATTGGAAAATAGTGCAGCAAATCATACCAGGTTGAATCGACCGCTTGGTAAAGCACAACAGCAAGCAAGGGAACAACTACTGCCATATACCACGCTGTGCGGGGCAAATGATACCCCGCCATAAGAACGACTTGGAACTAAAACCAACAAAGAAGCTATCTTGTAGAATATAAAGAGCTTTTGGGAGAATTTGTGAAGATTGGGGAGAACAATGTTATTAGAGAAAGGAAGTTGGTACTCTTGGCGAGTATTGTCGTCGTACCTTTGTTGGGTTTTATGGTATCCAGGCCTTGTCCAACGGGAAAACTGACGAATTGAGGTCGCCAGGGAAGATGTGAAGAAGCCTCCACCTAGACAGAGAGGCAAGGAAGGATAAATATATCACCTCGTTATTCTAATATATGTCGAACGAATTTCATGTAGTTTTTCAAAAATACAGAAGAATTCAATGTATTGGTGAGATGGTGAAATGGTGTCAAATGAATGATATAAAATAAGACTCAAGATCTTACAACGAACGAAGGAATAAATGTGGAAAAAGCTTTGGCGCTTGTGAATTGTGATTGGTGAGATGCCGCCTTTGCTATAAGGTAATCAATCCTTAGTCATCAATTAAATATGCCATAGCTTCCTTCATCCAATATCATAAATATATCATCATCATATCGCAGATGTTTCCAAAATAATAATAACGACCAAACAACTACATAAGGGTTTTCTAGGAATTCTGGCTGCTTGAGACTCAGTCCGAAAGAACAGCAGCGTGCTACTTGCTTGGCACATCCCACTGTTTGCAATCTTAGAAACCGAGATTGGACTTTCGAATACTTTGTTAATATGGCCTCTACGACAGCCAACGGTCAATTTGGCAAGACCCTCATTGATTTTACTTTGAAAAGAGAATTTCCGGATGAGGAAGTTTCTGCTTCTACCGTTGAGAATGTAGCTCTACCAGAAGCTTTAGAATCCCTGGGTCAAGCTAAATTGTCTCTCGAAGTGAGTCTCCAAATGTCCCCGACTGTGTTGATCACTGCCGCCGTTCGCTTTATTAACTATACTTCCTACAGACAGAGATTCGTCAAATTAGTAGTGAAAGTGCTTCCAATGTCGATAAGTGGATACAACATGCTCAAGCCCTCCAGGATGATATCGACAAATCAAGAAAACTGGCAAACGAAGTCGTTCAACAAGCAGAGGCGGACGAATCGCGATTCACTAATGTACAAAATCACGAAAATCATCTTGAACTTTTGGCAAAGGAAATCGAATTTAATGCGCAATTGGTGGAATGTATACAGTGGATAAAGCGTGCGAATGATTCTCTCGATAAAGCTGCCGAGCAGGCGGATAAATGTGAAATTCACGAAGCTCTAATGTCTCTCGACATTGCAGGCAATCTAATGGCGGAAATCCCAGCAGAAAACACGGTAAGAGCGGTGCGGCTTTTGGAGACTCGATTCCATGGGTTGAAAACTTCTTTGAAAGAACAGTTCAACGAACTCCGGAAATCATTGATATGCATTCAGCCCAAAGAAGCTTCCATCACAATCCATGAGAACCTCAGCGGTATTTCAACGTCTTTGGAGGATGTCGCTATTGGATTACATAGATTCAAAGAGTTTGATGCTTTTGGCAAAGATTTATGGGAGAAGTTGTCTGAAACCATCATCCAGCCTCGGATCGGCCTTGAATCGACACCCTCTCTGTTCAAAATATGTATTGAGAATAATACGCTCCGTGTCACCGAGGAACAAGCAGATTCTACCATAAAATCCTTGTTTCGGGATATTTTGGACATCATTCGCTTTCTGGACCAGAACTTGCCCAAGTCAATGGTGAAGTCCTTGTCCGCGGCCATGATGCCTGACTTATCTGAAATCATAATTGAAACATGGCTAGAATCGTCTGTACCAACATCCCTAAGTGATATGGCCGATTATCAAAAAGCGCTAGCTCGAACCACTGCATTTGCTGATACTTTAGAATCCTTGGGATGGCCAGAAGCACGGAAATTTCACGAATGGGTTGAGGGCGCCGCTAAAATTTGGTTGACCAAGAAGAGAGAGACGTCACTAGATAGCATTCGTAATGCGTTAGCCCTTGGTATGTGTATATCGCTTTACTACAAATAAGTCCCGCAGACTTTCTGCTTATTTACTTGATACTAATGGAATATTATTAGGTATTGGTCAGCCCGTGGAAGCTAAACGTGTGGAAATGCGTATGGTGACCAAGGATGATGGTATGCATGTTACTGCTAGTGGAGAGGCGGTGAAAGATGATTGGAACTGGGGTGAGGAAGATGAAGAGGAAGAAACTCACCCGGTGATAAGAAGTCGAGCTTCTTTAGACGAGGAACGAAGGGCGAGCTCAATATCCGTTTCCCTTCCCCAAGACGAGAATATCCAAGTAGATGAAGAAGACGCTTGGGGTTGGGGTGATGAGAACGAAGTCGCCGTCGAATCGCCTCTAGATGATCATCCGACACAAATCCCTCAAATACCGGATAGTCCTATCAAAACAAATGATCCAGCAGAGAAGCGTAATGTTACACTTTCGGAGAAGTATTGGACATCAACCATGCCTTTGACAGTATTTAACCATATTGTTAATATCTATGAAGATGGTAGCACATTAATGCAGCCAGAGTACGTATTCCTATCTTCCAAGTCAAGAATGTTACAATCACTAACTCTTGAAAGTCACGATTCGATTCCTGTGTCACCCGCCGCTGGTGGTTTATTCAATATTCCCACCTTAATTCTAGCAATGTATCGGGCAGTATCTCCATGTTATTATGCTCAGGATCCAAAGGGAAATATGTAAGTTTCAAGTCAATTCTTCCATCTTCCTGATAACATTCTCACTATTTGTAATCCAGGTTCTCTTACAATGATGCTATGTGGTTGGTTGATAAATTAAAGGCTTTCTCCAAAGAGTGGCATTTACGTACAGACTTGACTCCTCGAGCTTTGAATCTGGTCAAGATTGATTCAGAAATTGGACCTCTTGAAAGTTTTGGAAAGAGAGCTTACAAAAATGAGATGGACACACAACGTACTATTCTGCATGACTTGCTTGGTGGTATGTGTACGCAACTATTTTTTCACAACTTTACTAACATTATCTAGGTTCTCAAAATTTCGTATACAATGATAGTGAAAACGCAATTCGTGCTGTCGTTGGTCACATCAACCAACAGTCTACCTCTTGGAAAGAAATACTTCCGGATTCGACTTGGGCATCAGCTGTTGGTACATTAGTTAACACAGTTGCCACTAAAATCATCAATGATGTTTTCGAGCTCACAGATCTTGGAGTAGATGAAGCCGAAAGAATAGCATTACTAATCCAACAAGTCAGTGATCTAGAGTCTTTATTCAAACCAAATGAAATTGGGACTTATGCTGGCAACTGGCTAAAAATGCAATTTTTGAGCGAAGTTCTTCAAAGTAATCTGAAGGACATTAGGTATCTCTGGTTTGAGAGTCATCTTAGTTTATACTTTTCCAAAGATGAGGTGCGCGACTTGGTTGAGTTAAGCTTTGAAGATAATCCCAATTCTAGATCGTTGATCAAGGATATCAAGGAAAAGCCAATGCCGGATTTTGGGGCTATGTGAGTAACAGGGACTTGGGCTGAAGATGAGGAGGACGCAAGGAGTATGTACCCTGGTTTGAGCATACTTTATTATGTGTATATAAGTAGAGCTGTATTATCATGGCCTTTAAGCATCTTCTGTGTAAGAACAAGCATAAATAAAAGCTTCAAATTAATATTAAATATCTATTTATAGATCTACCTCGTTCGTATCGATATACGGAAAGTATACCACTAGTAAAATTCATCTTTAAAATTTAAGAGATTAATCTCGTGAGTGAGTGAGTGAGTGGGTGAGTGAGTAGATGGATGGATAGATGGATAGATAGGTAGTCAAATATATATATACATGTTATTTTATACTTCTTCTTATAGTAAGTATTAACAAAAACTTAGATGATAATAATTAAGTAACGAGGAGAGAAATATTAGAAATATAATTGTGAGAAAAGGAATCGGTTTTTGGGTGTGGAAGGGAAGGGAAAAAGATAAAAATAAAAGTCTTTATATATTTATATTCACTTTTCTCTTTAATATCTCTCTTCCCTCTGAGTATCTATGAATACCTATGAGTATGCATATTGGGAATTCGGATTAACCTTATTTATTTTTGTAGAGGAGAGGAGAGTAAAGGAGAGGAGAGGAGAATTGGTGGTATTAGGTAATTAAGCCTAATAAATAAATCTTATCATTCATTCATTCAATCTATCCCGTGAATTTACTTCTAGGTAAGATATCGATTACCATATCTATTAGTAATGTGAAATGTGAAAAATGCCTCGGGATTTGAGTTGAGTAGAGGGGATGGGAGGGATGCCGTTGGATGGATGGATGGGTGGATGGATATTGTAAGGCTTGGAAAAGTTTATACTTGGTTGCTATTTATATATTTAGGTTGGTTGGTTGGTAGGTAGGTGAAAGTTTGTTTGTTTGTTCTGATGTGATGTGATGGGATGGGATGGTATCCTTGTTTTGAGTTTGAGGTGTTGTTTGGGTTGGATGGGTAGATTCTAGAATTTAGGTAGATGGATAGAGATGGATAGATGGATAGATGGATCGGGTGGATAGGTAGATAGGTAGATAGATAGGTGAGTGTATAGATAGATAGATAGGTGAGTGTATAGATATTAGATAGATACATACATATACAAACTCCCCGAGAATCTACTTACTACCATAAACAAAACCAATCCACAAGAACAAAGAATCCCTCACAAATATTCGTATATCGTAACAGATCACAGAGTAGATAGAGCAGTACCTTATTTCAACTGTTGAATCAACCTTTTACCTCGTACTCGCATATATCCGATTGGTATAGTAACACCAAACCGAGTTGGTAATTCTAACGCGCGCGAATCTTCAGAGATCGTTTCGTTTGTTTGTTGATCAACCAATCGATCTATCGTTATCATACGAGTATCAACCTCCCTACGCACTAATCCAATGTTTACAGTAACTCACTCATATAGTTCCGGTAAATTCCTTGCGTTCTTCATGCAGTACATACAGTACATACAGTATGTACCGTCCGTATTATCGTATATCGTATATCGTATAAATTTACCGAGATCGGATATTTATTTCTCTTCCTTAAATAGGTATAATAGGTAAATAGCTAATCCCTAGTACCTAGTATATACTGGAGCACAGAGTACACTGCCCCAACCCCACCTTCTCGGAACCCCTCCCCTCTTCTGCACCTTACAAATAAATCCACTGCAACCCCTGAAAAATGCCGTAGAAACTAAGTATGTATGTATGTGGAACGTCCACCCACTGTATGTATCCTCGAATCACGACACAAAACATCTTACATGAGTACCTAAGGCTAACCTACCTACCTACCTTCGTATCTAATAAGGGAATCCCGTATTCGCACTCCACGCAATATAATTCGTTCGCTCGGATAACTTATTACTTCATCTCTGTTCCCTCACACAGTCTCTCGTCTGAGTACTCCGTACACTGGCGGTATCTATCTCAAGTGGAAACGACTCCATAAATAAGGCATTTTCCAGAATGGCGTTTCATATCCACATTAGGTAATACATACATACAATACATACGATAGGTAAAGTAAAGTAAGACTCGCATTGTATAGAATTGTGATATTTTGTAGCGCATTTATGGTTATGGAGGCGTTTAAAGTATGTTTAAGTATGCTTAGATTGGATGGAGGCTGAGGGTGCAAGATTGTCATGGTGTTGTTTAATTGGGGCTTGGCAGGGCTGGGTCTTAGCTTTTGATGTAGGTACTGTTATTGTTATTGTTAGGGTTACTGTACCGAGTATCGACTCTAGATCTGTTGTTTCTCGGTAGTTGGGGTTGATTATCATTTGCTTATGGGTTGGTTTTAGGGAATGGGATGGATGGATGGATGGATGCTAGCTATTTGATCGGAGGAGTATTTTTGAGAGGTTTTTTTTGAGTGAGTGTTTTATTTGATTCTGTCTGCATTTGTATTTGGATTTACTTCTGCTGCTACCTACTTCTAATTCTACTTCTATCTTCTATATCCGTTTCTATTTCTACATGCGCTTCTACTTCTATTTCCATTTCTACTTTTATCTTCACTTCTATTTTTACTTCTTTTTCTACTTTTGATTTTATTCCTATTTCTGATTTTATTTCTCCGTCTACTCCTGCTTTTCTCATACTTCTACTTCTACTTCTTTCTGTTTCTATTTCAAACCGCCACGAATAAAGACCCCTCAATATCACTTACTCACAGCTACAGCTCAAGAAGAAAGACCAAGATGGATCTCCGGAATCTTGACCGCCATCTACCCTTCGGAACCTCATCCTCCTCCTCATCAACAGCACTAAACCTCGCATTCACCACTTTCCTCTTCTCAAACATCTTAGCTTGGTTCTTTATGATAATCATCCAATACATCCTCTTTAAAACTCTATATCAACATCGACAACAGAATCCACCTCAAAATCAGCATTCATATCACAAATCCCCAAATCGAACTTATACATCTACATCCTCACAACCATATATTCGGGGTCCTTCTACTGGAGAGACGTATTTATTTATCGGGGCATTATGGATGATTTATGGATTTGTCGATGCGATTCTCACATTCTTTTTGGATACTATTATCTACTTCATCACGAGTCGAGAAACAGGACTAGCATATACGAATCACAGGAATGAAGTATACAACATGCGCTACTGGGCCGAAGGAGTAGAAAACGGGATGTGGGGATATGGAAAATTATTCGTCTTGGAAGTCATAACTACTTGGTTATTATCTCAGATTTTCATCTTGATATCTGATGTCTTGATCCCGTTATATCATGACTTGCGAAGGGATCGTAGGATTGTCGTGGCGAGAATGCAGAGTCGTGTGTGGGAATTGGAACAGTTTGTTCGCATGATGGATTGGAATAGTGAATATGATTCTGAATGTTTGTTGAGAGATAAAGAGGAGGAAAGAAGTGGAAATGAATGTGATAGTGAAAGTGGAAATCAAGAACAAATCATCGAATTATCTCGTCAGAGAAGCGAAAGTTTAGAAAATGGTGATCATGAGAGGAAATTAGATTGGAGATTAGTGATAGATGAGGAAGCGCTCAATGAGATGAAGGAAATGTTGGGGCCTCCCGGGGGGTTCGGTGAGTTGGGCTTTAGTGTTGCGAGGGATAGGGTGTGTCTTGGGGCTGTGAGTAGAGGCTCGAGTTTTATGGTTACGTTTACTTTGGGAGGGGGTGGTGATGATCACGGGTTAAGGAGGAAGAAGGTGGGGAGGAGGGGAAGGAAAGGATAGGGCAAGGTACGGAGAGATGGGAAGGGGGAAGAAAGAGGATGGAAAAGGATGTAAAGGAGTTAATACCCAGAGGAAGAATCAATCTTGATCTTAGTTTTATTTATTTTATGTTAGATAAGTTTCTTTTGTTGGATAATTAAATGAATTTCTATTTATATCTATATCTGAATCTGAATCTGAATTTATATTTATATTTATATTTATATTTATATTTATATTTTATATTTATATTTATATTTATATTTATATTTATATTTATATTTATATTTATATTTATATTTATATTTATATTTATATTTATATTTATATTTATATTTATATTTATATTTATATTTATATTTATATTTATATTTATATTTATATTTATATTTATATTTATATTTATATTTATATTTATATTTATATTTATATTTATATTTATATTTATATTTATATGTGACCAAAAGGGTGTTTATAGACCAGCAATTGTATTTAACTTAGAATCTACAGGTGAAGAGCACCTGTAGATGGGGATAGCTACTCTATATACACACAAATGAATGGCCTAGCCGTAATGGCTAGGCAAAAAGAAGTCATATTTATTCCTCCAATGATCTTACTTTACCGATAACCATTGATACCTAGTACTTGTCCGGATCTGATCCTCAGGTCACCTAAATCGCATACTAATCTCGAGTAATCGTATCATGTGTGGACATGGTTAATGTACCTGAAGTTTCTTATATAATAAGGGTGGGAGGAAAGCAGGGATTTCCGTCACATTATATTTATATTTAATATTTATATTTATATTTATTGTTTTAATAATCTAAGATTATATATATTATAAAAAAGTTCCAATTGAAATCATAAATTATATATATATTGTGACTGAAACCCCTGCTTTCCTCCCACCCTTATTATATAAGAAACCTCAGGTAACGTGGTTTATCAGTATGTGCACCACATCAGCATGTGCACCACTTTTACCTCAATTATTATCTTTCAATTAAAATAAAATTACAACAATATTATAAAATAGAATTAAATTATATACAATCTAAAGATCAATTAATGCTGGATCTAATTGATAAGTTCGTGCATTATGTGAAGTACTACCGCATTTGCTACATTGTTGTATAGTAGCTTGCCTTCTTGTTGAAGAATTATCATTTGTATATTCGTTGCATTGTATCTGATCATCTACATTCTCTTACTCTAATATATTATGCCTATTCCTTACTGAAAATGCTTCTCCTTTTCGTATTAAAGTTTTTTTAGCTCTTCGATGTTTACTAAATGCTTTATTTGCTTTATGGAGATTATGAATCTCAGCAGTTAAAAGCGTATTTGTATAAGCTAAGAGTTCTGTACCCTTAGCTAAAGTTGCAATTGTTTCAAATATTGGAGTAGATAAACTCCCTTGATGCTAAGCAATACGATTTTTCACTAAAGTAGATTGAGAGAGAGCTTTAGTTGGATTATGAGGTGTTTGAGATTGTTATATATCAGGATCGGCTGATATTGATCTATTTGATGGAGTTCTTATTCGAATATCTAGTTTTGAAAGTACAATTTCCGGATTAAATGGGATTAGCCCAGCTCTGCGGAACCCAGTTTTACTATTTGATATAGATATTGCTTCGATATATATAGCTTTGAAGGCTTGAAAGAATTCGGTTTTAGTAATATGAGTGATATGTACTTTGATAAAGTTCTCGATTTGTCGACTATATGAATGCTTTAAAGGACCAAAACAATCGATATCAAGTGATTGAATTAAATACAAAGAGTGAAATGGTAAACTGAGTAATATAATGTTGTGATCCTTGCAGTATTCCTGAAATACTGACGATTTATGACTTTTATGCCTACTAAGCATTAGCATTCGATATCTACTCACTTTCCTACTTTCAATATACTTATTGAAGTGCTTAATCCATTCAAGACCTATCTCATTATTTGTTCATTCATTGGTAGTAGATTTAATAAGCCAATCGTATAGTAAATCGCCTTCGGTATATCAATTTGAAAGATGATATTCGCCTTTTATTATCAAAAACGAAGATATATTGTGATCTTCTCCATCAACACAAATAATCGCTGTAGCTCATTCCCGATTGCCTGATTATATAGCTTTGTTTCTTCCATATCGATCAGCTTTAGTAGCTACTATATGTGATGATATTTGTCCCATCATAAAACCTGTCTCATCGAAGTTATAGAAATCGCAGTCCAGAATACCATATTTGGTCCGCATATTCAATACCAATCGAAACAATCTTTCAATAAGCTCTGAATCTTCGCAAAAAGCTTTTTGAAAGTTATAAATACGATTAAAATGTGTTTTTAATTCTGTATATTATTTCACAAAGCGATGAGCCCAGAGCTTTCCAACCTTCTTCACACCCCATGTTTCAAGTATATAATTCGCCATATCTTCCACATCACTTATTCGAGGACTAAATCCTCTCTCTTCCATATCGAGTATATATTGAATAAGTACTTCCTCTTCCAAATCAATCAAATTATGGCTTTTTGATCGAAATTCCATACGAGGGGTTAAACCATTCATTCTGCGGATAAGTATTGTATACGATGTATTATATAGCTTTACAACCTTCCGAATGCTTAATTTTTTATCTTTTCGAATAGCTTCGATAGCTAAGAGTATTTGAGCTTCTTTATTATTCGATTGCATTATAGATTGTTGATAAATCGCGTATTGAAGTGGAAAGATAATAATTGAGGTAAAAGTGGTGCACATACTGATAAACCACGTTAGTTACTTGATATAATTATAGAATTCTCATTAAGTATACCTTTCTATACTCAGGAGGTAACAATCGCTCATTCGTATTATCAAATATATCTTTAATCACATCAAATTTGCACTAGCGGGAGGAGGATCAGGTTATTTTTTTAGAGAAAAAAAAAAGGTTTTCTTGTTATGATACAAGGGAATTGGAATTGGAATTGGAATTGGGAGAGGGTTAATTAATGGAAAAGGGAATGAGAAAGGGGAATGAAGAATGAATTACTTACAGCCATCGAATTATCCCATCTATACCAACTATCGAAATAATATTACTAAACAGCGAATAATAAATTCCTTGAATAGAAATCTAAATATTAAAATATCGAAAATTAAAAATTGATCTGTCTGTCAGTAAACCTCGCTCGCTGTGACAAGTATTCCCATAATTACATTGAGAAATATTCTAGAATTTTTATTTATTTATATCTAGCGCCGATGTCGACGATGCTTTTAGTAAATTGTAATCGGGCACAAGCTAATTAAGTCGTTGATGCTTTTCGAGAGGTGGTCGAGTGAAGTAGGAATGAGCTTATCAGGCAATTATATGAGTTTGAGTACCAGCAAGGACATAATAGCTAGTACTAGGTGCGGACTTTGGGATTCGATGAGTTCTTAGGTATTTGATGTATTTCTTAGAACGCCGTAGCTGGGGAAAGTATGGTTTTCTTTTTGAGCAATGGATCGGGCTATTTGTCGTGCAATTTCACGACGATACAGGAAATGAAGAGTGTGGTTAGTCCTCGTTGATCGAGAAGAGATTAATTTATCGTGCGATACTGTATTATTTAGCAATGTAGTTTCCTTTATTATTGGGGGGTTTTTTTTTTTTTGAATAATATATTGACAGACAATAGTATTCTCGAAAGTGATCTTAGAATTATAGGCCAAGATACAAGATACTAGGGATAGGTAGATTAACTCCCGCTTTCCCAAATACATGACTTAATGCTACTAGCATTTTAATCAATCATTGTTGACCTCCTGGGATCTTGGCAGCATATGCATGTATATTGCATGATGCATATAAGGAGCCAACAAAACTCAACTTTTAATTTATTCTTTCCTTTTTGGTATACTGTTTGTTTGCTTTTGTGACCAAAAGGGTGTTTATAGACCAGCAATTGTATTTAACTTAGAATCTACAGGTGAAGAGCACCTGTAGATGGGGATAGCTACTCTATATATACACAAATGAATAGCCTAGCCGCAATAGCTAGGCAAAAAAGAAGTCATATTTATTCCTCCAATGATCTTACTTTACCGATAACCATTGATACCTAGTACTTGTCCGGATCTGATCCTCAGGTCACCTAAATCGCATACTAATCTCGAGTAATCGTATCATGTGTGGACATGGTTAATGTACCTGAGGTTTCTTATATAATAAGGGTGGGAGGAAAGCAGGGATTTCCGTCACAGCTTTCAATATTTTGATTTCAAAGCACTTTAATTCCGAAGGCCGAATACCTAACCTATTCCTTCATTTTTTTTTCAATATATACTCGCAGCTTAACTGCTCAGCTAGAAAATCAATCAATTCAATCTGATGCTCTTTCTAGTCTCAAGAAACCCAACAATCATTGACTAGAAATTGACGTTTTAGCGAGAAACTGATGTATTTTGCGGTTCGTGAGATATATCGGATACATTGATGATTATTGTGTGAACGAAGTGAATGACTTCAATTCAATTACTACTGTAATAAAGAACTAAGCGAACGCGAAAGAGACTAGCTCTTTTAGTAAGTCTATATAAGACTTACTACTTTCAATATGTAGCTAGCTCTTTAGACAGAATACAATTAGACATACAGGACCTACGTAATCCGTGGGTGCTACGTCTTCCGTATCCTTCTCGTACCAACAATTATATTTCGATCCGTATAGAATGCATGTGTTACTCGTTTGATATAAACCGTTATATACTACCATTTAGGTTCAATTCCTAACGCCGACTTCCTGGTGGAGTGGTAGTATTTCGTTTCCTATATTGTGTAGCTTTACTGCATGTGAATATTATGATGTTATTACTACCATCTATTTTAGATGCGTAATGTATATAATCTTTAACAAACTCAAGCTCGGAGCATAATACCTTGAGCAAAAATGTAATGTCACGGATTGATAAAGGGGGGAATGAAATTTTTTGGATATTGCCTAGTTCTGATGGTACACATATTTGTTTCTGTTATATCTTGGTGAATGATTCTCAAGCTGTGGAAACTGGAGCATGACCTTATTGGAATATTTATAAATAGGATTTTGAAAGATGAACTTTATATATGTATAAATCTGTTTCAGTATAAGATTTTGGGCTTGTTACGATTTGGTACGGCGCGGAGCCTTTTAACGTGAGTATAATATGATTTTAACGAATTTTACTAAGACAGAGATAATGGTAATTTGCGTAGAGTAGATTTGGCAGATTCTTTTGTTCAGTTGCAAAAAAAAAAATAAGAGCAAGAAGAGTATCGAACTTTGAACTTCACCCAAGTTTTTGAGGGAACTGGGGAAAGGCTTACACTTGGGACTGTCTAAGAAGATGCGTTTGAGGAGATGGTCAATCAATAGGTAGGTAGGTATTATATATTATTATAGAATTTGAGCTATTGAGCTACTGAAGAGACGTGTGAGAAAAAAATTAAAAATTCAAAGGGGATGACTCTTTAATAGGGTAAAAAGTTAAAATCACATCCCAAGAGGCTAAAAGTCTACACATATGAGCCTTGTAACTATAAATCTAAACTGATTAAGTGAGTAAAGGAAAGAAAATGACTAGATCCAAGGCTAATGATATCCGTAAGAAGTGCTAGTTCATGTGAATACTTTAAAGACTTAGGTATTTGGACTCTCCACCTCATTGATTGAGAAAGGAAAAGTGGTAGAAAGAGGGCAAAAGGAATAGACGAGAAGAAACAAAGTTTTTAATATAGTTTCTCTTTAAAACATTCTACTATCTCGGTTACGGGAGTAGACAAAATCCAATGAAAAATTAAACCAAAGCAAAGAGAAGAAATATTATAACCGATGAATAGATTCACTTGTTTAAAAGACCACATTTAAAGACATTTATAGAGAAGGAAACTTCTAACCTCTTTCGCCTTTTCCGTCAATAGTCTCTTCTTTTCTTTTTACCTCCTTCCTCTCTATCTCTTTTCTTTTACCTACTTTTCCCCTCTTTACTTACATAATTATCCTCCCCTCTTTCTCCCCTCGCAAAAAAAATCACTCTAATTACTCGTCTCCCCTTTTTCCGCGTCAATCATGGAAACAACCACATCTATTTGAATCTGATTGATTCGAGTTAAGTGGAGTGATTCAGTGATTCGATCGGTTTATATCTGTGGTATTAAATTAATCACCATTCTATGTTCTATACAGCCCCTATGCAAATAATCAACCACCCTCATTCTCAATCCGATTCTCATTCCCATATCCATTACCCCTATTCAAAACCCCATCCCAATCCATCCCATCATCTCCATATCCATCTCACCCTCTCATCACAAAACCCCTCCCAAATCCTCTCCATCAAACCTCCCCCACAAACTCCCATTTCCTCACCAAATCATCAAGACCACTCATGATAAAATCTATAATCCACCCCAGAAAACGCGTACACACACAACGCTCTAACCATAACTCTACTCCCCAAATAAGCATCTTGCAAATATCCCGGACAGAGCCTCTCCATCTCCCGATTAAAAATCGTCGCAATTGCCGTTTTTTCCTCTGGTAATAAAGGATTACCAGGCATATTCCAGAGGAAATTAGGGGGTCTTCTTGCCATTATTCTAGGAACCTAGGTATTAGAGAATATTAGTTTTAGATTTCGTGAAGATAGCAAAAAAGGTATAACTAAGAGATAAAGACATATGATGGGGTTGATATCTTACAGCCTTAGCATCATCCCAATCAATGACTCCAGTGAGCATAACATGATTTCTCGAACTTTCAATCATGATATTTCGCGGATAAAAATCCAAATGCCATACCACAGCCGGTTCATCAACGAATAGACCCTTTTGTTCCATTTCCGCACCAATTAGGACAAGCTTGTGGATTTTGAATTTTTCCTCTGCTGTTATATTAACATTCCCATCCATCGTCTTCCGCATCCGGGCATTCAAAAGACTTCCAACCCATTGACCAAAAAAAGGTTCCGAAGGAATCCTCACACCGTCAATCGTAGGCCGACTAATCTGTAAAGTCGAAATCGCACTGGTAAGAGTACCTTTAATTTTCATACTGACATGAGAGACGAAGGACCCATATCCCGGAAGCGAAGTCCTGTCCATAGCAGCTACGAGCTCGGCCACGCATTTCGCATACTTGCAGCGCCGTTCCAAATCATGAGGATGACGCGGAGTTTTGTGCTCGAATCCTTGACGTAGCTTGCGATATTCATACTCTAATGTCTCTCCCATGATGCGTTTCCAAAACGGTGTATGGAGATCGGATGGGAATTTCCGTAGGTGCTATCCCATGCTAGAGTAATTTGGAATGGGGTAGAACAGAAAATTTCGGGCGGAGATTTTGTGTAACAGCTACGACGGATTTGAGGTGTATATTTGTTGGGGGAATGGTTTTGGAATGAATTTTTATGAGTACGTAGGACACAGGCGATTCGTTGGCACTTGTCTTTTGCGTTGAGAGGAAGACATGTGAAGGCGATGGCGGTGTTGTTGCCTCCAGTAAATTTCTCGCATTTTCTTATTTTGCTGGCGAATTTGATATGGATGCAAAGGTTCTCGATCACTTGTCTGGTTTCTTCTAGTGATTCGGGTGGAAATAAATTCTTAGATCCATGAGCAAAACCCGGAACGGGGAGGGTTGAATATGATTTTGCCATGGTTGGATACGATTCACCTTGAGACTTCTCTTTAGTTTGTTTATGAGAGAAATAAGGAAAAATTCTTACAGATTGTGTCAATTAATAAATGAGTAGAGTATGATATACACAGGTTATGAACTAGAACTGTACAAAGATAGATGAATGAATAAGGATCTAGCTGTATTCTAATGACCGTACCATATTAGTCACTGAATCTACTGGATTCCTGATATTTAATACAGCTCCGGGAGCGTGAAAGTCTGATATGGCTCATGAATGCTCAGGGTCTGACCTATAAGTCCCGATATCATGGTTCTGTACTGCAATGAGAGAAAGGAAGAAAACCTCAAGTGTTCAAAATATACTGCAAAATTTGTTCAATGCTTTTATATTTGATATTGACAGAGTATGAGGATACTCAAGTCTAATTGATACATCATGATGTGCAGAGTATCTCATGTAACCAGAGATCAATAAATAATATAGATATCTATTCACTCGAATAGTTCCCACTCAAAAATCACCATGCTAGACGAAAGAAACCGGACTTGGGCTCTAGTGAGAGGAAGTCACTTCCACATATCTAATTGATAACTAATTAGCTAAAGCTTTCCTTTCTGATTTCATTTGTATTCCACATCTATATCAGATACAATAAAATCCCAAGCAAAAAGAGAAAAAACATCACAAAAAATCAGAAGAAAAAAGGGATTATAAAATATTCAAGTAAAAGCAGTGTTTGGTAAAACATAGGAATCAATATCCCTCAAACGAAACGGTAGGCATTCATTAAATTTCGACAATACAAAATGTAATTAAGTTCCGCCTTTTGTATTCTGAGAGATGACAATAAGATGCTCTTTATAAATTACTATGCGAAAATACATCTCTTATCTCGCTGTTGTGATATATAAACCCCCAAATTCCAAGAAAAATGCAAAGTCTGGAAAAGACAGGATATCCGCACACCACTAGAATCTTTCCAGGAATCCAATATTCACTAGACCTAACTCCTAATATTTTGCTATAAAAAGAGCGTATTTATCTCGTACCAGTAATAAATATCTAAGGCTTCTTCTCTTTTCCTGCCGAACGACTTCTAAACAAGCTCCTAGGAAACGGTGGTACATGAACCGTAGCAGTCTTGACCTTTTCCCTAAGGCTCGCCTTCTTTCCAACACCCGTACCAGATTGAGTCTCAACTCCAGCCATATCACCATTTGATGGTTGGCTTCCGTATGAGTTCTGTCTACCACGAATACTCTCTTGCTGTTCGGACGATCTATCTCTACCCCACCATTTAATTAATGTTCTCTTCTCTTCATCTGTTAATGGTTTCACTTGGTTATTGCAGAAGTATCCTTGAGTAACGCTCGATGGACGAGCTGCATCCCATTCCATCAGATCCTGTTGACAGTGACGGCTTTCATCCACTAAAGTTGTTGTGTTTTCCATTGGACTTGATGATGGGCGGAGTGGAGTGGAGTCGGATTCTATTATATAGTTTGGTTCTGGGACGATTACATCATGAGACCAAATTAATTGTTGTGGAGGTTCTATTAGAGGTTGTTCAAATGTAGAGGCCTGTTTATCCTGGAGTTCGAATGTCTCCATTTGTGAAGTATTTGACACTGTGACAGTTTGATCAATTGGCATGAAATCATTGAAGGTAGAACCGGCAGGGTCGAAATGATCATTTCGTGGCCACCATGGATATGTCTCGTAGCTGGAGATATCGAAATTCATTCCATCATAGCCAGCAAGAAAGTTCATGTCTGAACTTGTGGATAGAACGGATCCAATTGAGTCATGTGATCTCGAACTAAATTCGAGGGAAGGTGTAGGAAAATCCAATGATTGAGCACTCGTATGGAAGCCTTCTAACTTATAAAGTGTTGCAGGATCAACGAAAGAAGATGTGGTCCATCTTGGTGGTGGATCTGAAGAAGGTGTCGAGTTTAACGTGAATGTCTCGGGATCTATCGTGGTGTTTATCTGACTGGCAGTTTCGGGGTCTGGAATGAAGGAAGAATGTCGTTTATGTAGGGTCGACTGGGCGTCGACTTTTGCAGCCATATTCTCTAAACTACTCAACCGTTGTTTGTTTCTTGAACATCTTTCAGGATCACACTAGCAAGTGTTAGTGAGAAGCCTCACAGCGGGAAGTGATCTTCAACTACCTTCATCTTCTGTCTTCTATGCCGAGCACATGCAAAACCTCTATTAGCTGCAACTTTTACGCGTTCTTCCTTGTCATATCGTCTTTTCTTTATCTTAGGACTGAATTCTTTCATATCAGCATCCCATGTGAGGAATTGAATGGTCCTAGTTTCCGGCATAGAAATACGGTGGGATGCAATTGATCCGGATTTGACATGTGATGGTGACTCCGGTACTTTCATATTTTGTCGCGTGACCTGATCTTCTGTATCCATATGTAGGGGTAAAGCATCGAAATTCAAATGCTCAAAGGTTCCAACAGTTTTGGAGTCATCTGATGATTTCTTTTGTCGTTCATTGCGAAGAAACTTCCTAGTGGCAGCTTGCATTTTGCTTCCAAGATCCTGTTCTAATGGAAAATGATAACTTAAAGCGATGGATAATTCTTTGGATCCAGCTGGAGGATCCCATCGTAATGTATGATCATCATTATAACTTATTACATACTGAGGAAGATCAAAAATTGACGATTCCCTCTGAGCTCGATTGATTTCTTGCTCTTGAGGTGAGAAGGAGTCCATAATCCGGGGTGCATTTCATGCAAATGCAGTGACTGAGTGAGTGGATCGTATCGGTGGATTCAGTTTGAAATTACACTGTAGTCCGTACACATCCGCTGCAGGTACTGTAGTGTAGTAATCAATTGAACCAACAGTTGACACTAACACCACCAATACCAGAGCAATGCGACGGGAATTCGAAGAGTAAACTGGCGGTCTAGAAGAATTTGATGCAGAGATGGATAGATAGACAGTCAGACAGTCAGACACGTTACGACAAAACAATTTGATCCAGTCGTTTTAGTTGTTTTACTCGTTTTAACTGAAATAAGATAAACGAGACATTATTCAACGTTGTGGAGTAAAGAGAAATGAAACAAAATGAAGGAATCTCAAGTTTTCCCAAGTTATTAGAGCACCAGAGCTTCTTCCCAATCTCTTGTGCCCTGTTACTCCGAGGTTGCCTTGGCTTGACCGTGTCCTAATACGGATTAATCAGGGATAAAGTCCGATGTGGAGTAGCTGATAATCATGTGATCATAAAAGCCACAGGAATATATTGTTCTGTTCTTATAAATTCTTTTATCGATATCACGAGAATTCTGATCAGAAAAATGACATCTTTGTCCAGCGTTGAGTGTGCCTCGCTACTGACTCCTGACTGGATATGAATCAATGAGCATATCGAGAGCGTACTGAACTAGCACGCCGCTGTTTCGATCTGTTTGGATCGTTGAACAGGCATTGGGACTCATCCGCTCCTGCATTTGTGAGTGACGACTATAGATCCCTTACTAGGAGCTGTTTGGGACTCTACAAACTTTCCATACACATTTCCATACACATCTCCAAAGGTGGGTTAAGTGCTTAATACCTTCATTATCAAAAGGTATTTCCGATACATTCTTCGTATTCATTTACCACGGCCGGTAATTTATAAATAGCAGCGCGTGCAATCACCAAGCCCAAATGGCACAAACCTTAGAGAAATGGCAAACAGATTTTGAGGATAAACCTCTACTCACAACGTTAGGCATGTGTGTTCTAGATGATCTATACTTCCCCGACGGCGAGATAAAATCCCGAGTTCTGGGTGGAAGCGGTGTTTATTCAATCCTAGGCGCTCGTCTCTTTCTTCAGGGCGAAAATGCACAAAAGCTTTCCTGGTTAATCCGAGCTGGAAACGCATTTCCCAAAGAAATTGAAGATAGGCTTAGGAGTTGGAGCACCGATCTGGTAATTGAGAAAAGTGCGGGAGATAGAGTGGAGTGTACGAGAGGGGAGTTGAGGTATTCTGGTGGGTTAAACGGGGAAGGTGGTGAAAGTATGGAGTTTGAGTGTAAGTTGAGAAAATACCTTTGGTTACAGGGTCAGATTCTGTTTTATTTACCCACATGCACAGTTGAGGATTATCCACTACTTTGTCTATGGAAACTTGAATATTCCTGTTGAGCTAGGCTTTTACCAACCGTAATTTTCGAAAAGACTTCAGAGTCTTATACTGTTGGCTACAACTCTTCATCCTAGACTAATATATCGCCCAGCAAAAACCTTCAAATACATCGATGGACCCTACCGCATCGAACCACAACACTTAGCTCCCCATTTATATCTCCTCAATTCACGCGCCTATCACTTTCTTACCTCACCCATCGACATCCTCATCCAGGTCCCAGAACTCCTATCTATCAGAGAAGCGTTCGGAATTCAGGGCACCCCACTAATAATCTGGGAACCACTTCCAACCACTGTCCTACATTTCCAAGATCTCGAACTAAAAAACTACATGAATGCTCTCAAAGTTGTAGAC